TAAAAAACAGATATTTTCAAAAATAAAAATACACTTTCACTTTCATGAGGTCGATGGGTAACTATTTGGTGTGTAACATATACATGGAAATCACCTATACACCCTCTTGCAAATGCAGTTTCGAGATTCTATCATCATAGCAACCCACATTTTAATTATTTGGGTTTAAAATATCAATAGAAAACAAGAATAAGAAAGGTGAGCTAAAATCCACTCAAATAGAACTATCTAAACATTGTATGTTGAATGGAACATAATATCAAACTATCAAATGGAGACTAAGTAAGGATTTAATAATGTGTTTCTGGTTTCAATTAATTATGAAACAAGAAATGCACTACATAGGCATGACCATGTTTTCTGGGCATTTATGTCCTCAATTTAGTACACTTTGTAGTAGGGGTGAGCAAATGGATAGGTTACATCGAAATTCAAATGCAACTAACCTTGAATCGGCCTTTGAACTAACTCTACCTAATCTAGGAATGTTTTAGTTCCAAATTCTTGGAACCAATTCTAATCCGGGCCAATTCCAAGGTTTAGGGGTTTATCCTAACCAAACCAATACAAAGAAATGGTCATGATTGGCCTTATTGGAACCAACCTTGTCTTGAAACCAAAGTTGTCTTAAAATAAATCCCAAAATACTTTGAGGATGTAAAGATTTAAACCCAAGGATTTGTAGTTACAAAAATTATGGTATCACTTAACCATTGAGACACTTAAAGAGTTAAAAAAAGAGGTTTAACCAATTTTCTTCAATTTAATATTTGAATGTGTATAAATTATAATGATAAGTTGTGCACTATATCATTATCATCATCATCATCATCATCATCATCATCATCATCATCATTATTATTATTATTATTATTATTATTATTATTATTATTATTATTATTATTGAAAACCATGTTTTTGAAGAACATATTCCTTTTTTCTTTGGGGGGAGAGGTAAAGAGAAAACAAATCACATGGGTAAACCTTGAAATCGGCCCTAAAACCGCCAACGCTAAAACCAACCCTTGAGACGGTCTTGACAGGGTAGATTATGGTTCCCAAAATCTGGAACCAAGGTTCAAAATATCGATATGCCCGATACGTCGATATGAGCGTATCGGGCGAATCGATACTGTGTTTTTTTTACATTTTTTTATTTTTTTTTCTAAAACCGGTTCAAGGGGCCAGTTTAGGGCTCCTTCGCCTCTTGAACCAGTCAGACCCCTGATACACCCACTATAAGGGGCGTATCGAAGGGGTCCCAGAATAATACGTATTGGTCGATACGTGTCAATACTTTGAACCTTGTGTAGAACCAACACATGCAGGATAAATTCCATGTTCTACTTGGAACCAAACCAAAGTGACTCATGCTCATAAGTCTACTTTGAAGAAGCTGCATATAACAAACAAAGTGGCCATTTGTGAGGGTTGAAGTGCAGCAGCTTCTACCTTTCTAAAGTGGGTGCATTGGAACAACTTATAAGCTGTGTTTGGTAAATAAGACAGAAAGAGCCCGAATGAGCTGTACCTCAGGCATTTTTAAAGTTGTCTGCTTTAGTCTCTTTAAGTATCTTATTAAGAGCACTTTAAACAGCTGAACCAGATTAACTGAATATTCAACTAAGTCCTCCCAAACGGACCCATAATTACATAACCTATGTTTGTGAGTTGTGACAGATGACTTAAGGCACTTAGGCTGTGTTTGGCGGTGTGAAGGAAAAAGTAGGAAAAAGAAGGGAAAGGTAGTAAAACCTTCATAAATAGGTTTCCCTACCTTTTCCTTCTTTCCCTACTTTTTCCTTGAAACCAAACAAAGCCTTAGCTGCCTAAGAATAGAGGTGTAAATCGGGTCGGGCCGCTCGCTGCCCGGCATGGCACGGCACGAAAGCTCACGAGTCTTGCCAGGCCTGACACGAAGGTCCGTGTCGTGCTGGGCTGGGGGTTCGTGGTCCACAGGCTGGCATAGTCCGCCCAGAATATAGCCGTTGGGCCCTGGCTAGTTTAAGCTTTTAGGGGGTTTTTTACAGAAATACCCCCCAACAGCCATATTAGGGGGGTATTTGTGTATTTTGCTTATGGGGGGTTGAAAAAATGACATAAATACCCCCCAACAAATATATAACAACTACTTTATGGGGGCTTTTTGGGTAAAGTTATAAATAACTTTATAATGACCAAAATACCCATCCCAACAACTAAATAACAACTAGTTTTTTGGGTATTTTGGACAATTGAATTATGTTCAATTCCTATAAGTAGCCCTATCCTCCACCATTCTCATCACACTAATTCAACATTCTCAATTCTTTGCAATTTGAGTAATTCTGATTAACTGATTGTTTGATTCTGCATTCTCCAATTCTCAAGTCTCAACTTTATTGAAGTTTCAACTTTTAACAAGAAGATGGCTTGCTCAACCAGCTCAAGTATCTCAATTTGGGAGGCTTAGACATTGAAAGGCTTCAACCGTTGAAATCAAGTTGGGATTTTGAACCGGCAATCTGGGTAAGTCGAATTAGATTAATTTTTATCATTTTAGAATTAAAAAAAAAATAATCGGCTTTTCTAAAAACCAATTTATATTAGTTGCTAAGTATAGTACTTTTATATTATACATGCAGAACAACCATTTATATTAGTTGGTACTTTTATACATGCAGAACTTGCTAAGTATAGTATATTATACATGCAGAACAACCATTTAAATATTCACAAGAAAAATGAGACAAGAACTTGCTAAGTATAGTATACATGCAGAACAACCATTTATATTAGTTGAATATCCAAAGCTAGAAAAACGGTTAGGTAGTTCTGTAAACCCACAATACAAAAAAGTTTCTAGGAATACTATAAGAACTTATGCTTTAAAATTTTTTTTATTCATATAAGCAAAATTTAATTTCTTTGTTAGAAAATCTTAATTCTAAAGTTCCAATTACTTCGAATATTTGGACATCCAAATTTAATATTAGTTATATTTGTGTTACCGGTCATTTTATTGATGAAAATTGACTTTTGAATAAAAGAATTTTCTTGAATGGCCACATAGTGGCTCAGCTATTGTTGCAAGTATTTTAAATAATTCGCATGTTTATAGAAAATAATTATTTTCTCTTTGTTTTGATAATGCAAGCAATAATGGTTCTACAATAAATATTTTAAAATCTCAATTAAGACAATGCTTAAATGGTAAATTATTTCATATTAGATGTGCATGTCACATCTTAAATTTATGTATTCAAGATGCCTTGAATATTATTTCTACTCATATTTCAAAAATTAGAAATTGTATTGTATATATATATATAAAGTTCAGGGGCAAGAAAACAAGAATTTAAATATTTATGTCAAAATTATGGTTTAAAATATAAACATTTTATATTAGATGTAAAGCATAGGTGGAATTCTACCTATACTATGTTAGAAAGTTGTATATCTCATAAACACTTTCTTTCTGATTTTTATAATTCAAAAATGCTAATGATATGATATTTGAGGAAGATTCGGAAATGGCAGTCTGTATAAGAGATTTTTTAAAACATTTATATGATGCAACTAATGAATTAGCTAGAATTTATTATCCAATTAGTTGTAATTTACCTTATCAATTAATGGTAATTAGTGATTGTTTTGCAAAATATAGAAATAATCCACAATTTCAATGTATTTTTGAAATAATGTAAAATAAATTTAAAAAATATTGGGAGAACATTTCTCCCCTTTATTGTTTAGCTACAATATTAGATCCTAGGATTAGGAAAGATGGTTTATATATTTTACTTGAATCATATTGTGAAAATATGAATATTGATATAGGAAATAAAAAAGAAGAAATTAATAATTTATTATTTGAAATGTACATTTGTATGAATATGAAATTGTAGGAAATATTCCTACAACTTGTACATCATCTTCTTCTACTTCTGACCTTGAGCTCAATAGTAGAAGAGAAAAACTTTTTTATTTAATAAGTAGAAGGCAGAAATTTGCTAGTTCTACAACAAGTTCATTTACTGAACTTAATTTTTATTTACAAGCAAAATTTTCTAATTTAGGTGAATGATCAAATAATTTTGATATTTTAGCCTATTGGAGTGAACATTCGAAAAATTATCCAATTCTCGCTACCATGGCACGCGATCTACTAACTCCTCCGATGTCTACAATTCCATCGGAGTCTTGTTTTAGGGCAGGTACCAGGGTGCTCGATGACAAAAGAAGTTGCATGAACGATGAAAGCATCACTACAAAAAAAGAAAAAAAAAAAAGGAAAAAAAAAACAGGTCATAAACTACATGACCGCCAGCATTAACCTGCTGGCGAACTACCGGCGGTCTTTCTTTCCCGGTATAGCCACCATCGGGGAAAATCATGACCGCCAACAAATCTGTACAAAACCACCGGCCTAGGTGGCATCAATTTGGGCTCTTAAATTAAGTATTGTCGACAATTTGTCAGAATTGCTGGCTTATCCTTTATTACACTAGCAGTCATAAACCGCCGATAAAGTAAAAAAATAAATAAATAAATTTTAAATATATTATAAATACCAACATTACAAACCGCCGGTACAAGTAAAAGCAGACCGGTGGCATGATTTTCAATTTACATGTGTGCCAACAGTGTAAAGCACCGGCGTAGACATCAAGGACCGCCAATGTAGGTTTTGGTAATAAAAGCCATACTCTTTTAGGCAGCAGTTAGAACCACCGGCTTTAGTTTTGTCAAAAACTGGCCTGCTCCTTCAACGAGCAGTCTGGACCGCCGGTTTAAGTTTTGCAAAAAATTGTCCTCCTTTTAGTGGCGGCCTAAACCGTCAGCTTAGACCATATCTAAGTCACCATTTAAGCCTTATGTATAGCTAAACTGGCGATTAGATGACCGCCGGCTTTGATCAATATATATGTTTTTTATAATATATTATTTTCAACATTTTTTTATATCCACACTTTATTGATCCACCACTATAATACATAATACACTCTTGCAAATTGATATATGAAAAGTTAAACAACTTAAATAAAAGTTTAAATGTAACACTCAATCTATTAATATAAAGATTGATCATTATAATATCGAAAACAAATTGTTCAAATACAATTTATTGATCTATGACAATTTATTGTTCCTTTGATCTCTGACTGCTACTGCCTTCTTTCCCCGATCTTTGGCTTATACAACCTTCCTCAGATTGTTCATCTTGCTGGAATAATTGGAACGTTTCAAGGCAATCATCTGATCTGAGTTGAGTTTGATGAGAATGCAATCAGTGGAGCACATGCCTCTGATGTCATAGGCTTCTCTGTAGGGAGAAATATGGTCTTAACCTGCATGACCAAAAGCAAGCAATACCACCTTAGATCAGAAAAATGAGGCAATAAGTGCAACTACAATTGGAAGCTGTAAGCCTCCTGTGTAAAGCACAATATCTATGTATCTCCTGTATGCCTCCACCTGTTTCATTAATTAGCATGTCGCATGGAGAGCCTCCAGCACTTTTTAAAACATTGCCTTGAAGATGTATGCAGCTGTGAAGCTGTGGTCGTGAGATCTGACATTGATGTGGAGATACACAATATAATTGTCCATCAACTATATATGGGGTTCCTCTTTTAATGTTTACTTGTATATTCTTACTGCATGCTTGTTATTCTTTCATAGCAATCAGCAAAGAATTTGCTTGCATCCTGCACTTCCAAAGGCAATCCGGGTTTGGTAAGTATATGCTTATAATTATTCTTACTGCACTTGTTCATTTTTGTTAATTATATGTCTTATTTTCCCAACTTTATATTCACCAGCTAGATCGAGTTTCAATTTTTCTAATACATCTGAACAAAACCACAATGCTTTTTCCCCCAAAATGTGGCACCACAGATCACCACACCACTTTTTATATTGAATGCAGCCTATGATTCTTATCAGGTGAGGTTCTCCATCCCGGCCGGCCCAGTTGTCTACCTAATTACATGAACTACATTCATTCAGCAATAGTACATTCAATATGATCTGATATATCATTGTTTGATATGCTTCCCATGCCAATTTGCTGGTTTTAATGAATCCCATTTCACTTGATTATTGGGATGTAAATTTATATAGTGTGGGTATATAAGTGTTCATTTCTACTGCTTATTTTTTATTATAGGTAAAGAATATTTTGGCACCTGGTATTGCTGATCCCCATGGGACTTCGCATGACTGCAAGCTTGATATAACAAAGTGTTCAGCCACTCAACTTCAAGCCATACAAGGTCACTTTAACCCCTTCTTGTGTACTTCTATTTTAATTTGACTACCATCTCACCTTGTTCTGTTGAGCAAAGCGTTCCCTGCCAGTTTACAAACAAACAGCCAAGTTACTCCAAGACATAAAAGATGGAAGTGATTTTTGATAACTCATCAGCTTAAACATACACTCACATTGGTAACAGATATGGATACTAGGTGTTGAAGATGGTGAGGTAATAGAAAATAATGGGCTAAGACATCCTATGTGATAAGTAAAGAATTTGATCTTTTTCTTCTCTTGTTGAGCATAGTATAAGAACATTTCATTCATGTACTCAAAATAAAACTAATAAGCTCAAAGAAAAGAAAGAAAATTTTGCATCCAAACAAATAGATACGTGGAATGGTAATTCCCTAACTACTTGAAAATTAAGGACTACACAACACCTACCGTCTATGGGTTGTGTCAAGTTTTATTGGCAACAAAGAAGAATCAAAAACAATAGGAAGTCTTGAACTAGTCAAATTTACATCACAGAACCAGGAGGCTGAGATTGTATGGCAAGACAGGTAGGGCCACCACCACGACCAATACTCCCACCATGCCCATGAAACAATGTAACTTTAATTCCATATTCATTGCAGGCAGCTACAACATCCCCTTGAGCTTTGTACAGTTCCCAAGCAGCAGTAAAGCGGCCAGGACTTGACAAACAGAATCACTATGCCTTTCTTAATGTAGTACATACCTCTTGGTGTCTATTATGGTTTTTTATTACATGATCCCGGTACCAATCAATGGATAACAACTTCCCGATCACTGAACCAGCCCCTCTCAAGTCCTTCACAGTTTCAAATAGAGGGACAACTCGCAACCTGTTTCAAGACCAATTTAACTAGCATTCATTAAAGCTCTATACATGTCTAAGAATTCAATATATGCTTGAATAAAATTTGAGTTGCAACAATTCTAAGGCACCGTGCAATTTTTTGACACATACTCTGCACTCAAAGAAAAAGGTATAGTGCCCCATGTCATATCTTAGTTGGTTTTCTTTAAGTAAAAGAAAAGTAAAACTTCTTTACTAGTTGGTTTTTGTTTTATTGGAAAAGCTATTAATCTCTCATCTAAGAGACATTTCCTCCCTGGAAAAAGCATTAAAAGCAAAGGAATGATAGTGATTTACTTTTTCTCCTAGAAAAAAAGTTAGAAAGGACAGGTATCACTGAGCAAGTCCTCACCTTTTCAAGTCTGACCAAAAGGTGAAAGAATAAACAACAAAGGGGGAATAACTCAACTCATGTTGAAGAATCTTATTACAAAACAAATTTTCAAAAAGATGTCAAGGCCTAGATTAAACCTGGACTGTTGAGATATACTTTCTCAAGGATTTTCTAAATGAGATTATAGAAGAAGCATGCAGACATAAGAGATCAACTAACACGCCTCTCCCCTATGAGTCATCATTAAATGCCTCCTTTATGTCAAAGTTTTGGCACACATTAGCTCCACCCATATTCTACTTTCAGTTTAAGCTAGGTCTGAGTGTTCTAGAAAGGAATTAAGTATCTTTGAAAGCTCTGTTATGAAGCCATCTTCAATTGTTAGAATACTTTTAGCATATCCTTTGTAATCATACTTTCTTCATTTTCTTTATCAATTATTTTCCTATTTTTTGAATTATTTGGATAATTTGATCAAACTCATTCTAAAGAGAAGAACCCCAACTCTCCAAATTGCCGGCATACCAATATCAAGTTAAATAAGAAAATGAGGCAGGGATTTTCTTTTGAGGGGACCAAGTTAAATAAGAAAATGAAATAGGAAGTATAGAAAGTAGGGTTTGGACAGAAATGGGGCAGGAAGTATGAAAAAGAACGAAATGTATACAACAAATCTAGCAGGCAAGTATATTACTAACAAATCACTATAGCAGTTCCTAATACACCACAATTAAACTCACAGGAAAAGCTGTAGAAAACAGCTTGTGCTAAAACTTGAATTACACAAGCTCCTGTTAATCTTAGATACGATCAATCAGTATTTAATTTAATTCACCTTTCTCAACTTGCAAGGAAATCTGGTCCAGAAATTTTGCCTTCAGGGGAGGTGGGAAGGGCATAACAGAGTATACCTGAAGTGTGCCACCGGAGCTTTGGACTCTTGAGAAGATGGCGATGGTTATAATCTTTATCAGAAACTGAGAGAACAATTTGAATAGTCATAAGAACAGTTCGAATAGTCATAATTTCCGAGCAAGACACTTTCATTTCTGTCATTATTATAATTCTTATTGTTATACTTGCCAAAAATAACCAATCCAACAACCTGTAAATCTGACCCCTAACAATCATTATTAAGATTAGTCCTGCATCACAAAGGATGGGCATATTCCAATTATAATAGCATTGATGACTGCATTTTCCTTGAAGATAAATTTGTGACTTTTGTAAGATACACAATATTGTAGTCATATACTAAAGCAGAACACTGAGCACAAAAAATATCAACAGCAACTCATCAAAAAATAAAATAAGTGAAAAATACCAGCAGAACACTAATTTGGTTCCACTAAATATATAAAGATTATCATTTATTTAAGTATAAAAGCATAAGAAAATAATACATATTTCCACCAGAGATAACTTTGTCAACAAGCAAATATGAAGTATACCAAGTCAAAATCAATGCATAACATTGCCAAAGTCGCACTAGCAATAAATAAGTACTTTATTTAAGTTCAAACTAAAACAATCATAATTGTTACTAGATGACATGGGCCTATCAGAGAAGTGTACCTTCTGACAACTGGTAAAAAGAATCCCTCAAGTGAGGGAGATCCCTTACAAGTTAATATGAGCTTCTTATCCCACCAGCACTAGCACATCTTAACCAAAGATAAAAGTTAAACCAACAATAACACACCCTTGGGCAAGGCAAACTGTGGATCCATTAGTCAAACATTTTGACTTTTCTGTTGACCAATATGACAGTTCATTATTCCATAAACTGAATCTTGATTTAATTAAGGTCCTCTCCTGATTTAATCTTCCTGAAATTTTGAGGAATCCTTCTTTAAAACATACCCAAAGCTCAACTCAGTCCAATGGCTGGATTGAGAGAAATTAGGCTCACAAATTCTACTCAGAATTTGGAGTATTCTTTTTAATGACATTCTTTTACACTCTCCTCTCTAGTTTCTTATTTTTTTACTTTTATTCGATGCTCACTGAAATAAATCTACATCACTTTTATTCCTCCAGAAAAAGCATATCTTCTGGAATACCTTGTATCTCTGGTTTTTTCCCTCCATCATCCGCAAAGTAAAAGTTGTATATTGGAAACTTTATGGAAAAAAGTGTTGGCAATGCAGTGATATGGCAACTAATCATTTCATTCTCCCAAGATGATGTTTTTTATTCTAATGATATGTACTGGTAAATATGTGCAAACTGTTTTTTTTTAGAGAGAAAAGGTTAACTTTCATTAAAAGAACAAAGGATGTGCAAGAGGATAATTGACAGCCATACTAGAGCAGGTTAACTTTCATAGGAATATTCTCAGGTCTTATTGGTGTCGTGAGCTCTACTAGAGCAGAATTGATAGCCATACTTCATGGACTAAAGTTAGATAAAAAGGTTTAAGAAGAGGAACATTGTGCTGGAAAGAGATTCCATGACTCTAGTAGGCTATCTGTCTGAAGAATGATATGGCAATAAAGATACGTATTAAGAGAACTCAAGCAATTAGCAAGGGAGTTGGTTGTTTCAGTTATTTGGGTACTGAGATCAGCAAGCTATATGGCTGATTCATTTGCAAAACAAGGGGTTATCAGGGAATGAATGTAAGGGGGGGAAGAAAACTATAGTTGAAGTAATAGTAGTGGTAGATGGTGAAAGCCAAGGTTCATGTACATAATATTCTTTTATCATATTCAATAACGAAGAGAACAGGTTTGCTTCATGGGCCTATTTTGTTTGACTGATCTTGCCATAGTAGGTAGGATTCCATTGGGCTGAAAGACATGAGATGCAATGTGAAGTGGTTTAGCTCTGGTCCAGACTCTCAAAACCACATATGAGCTTTGGCTTGAAAACATCCAGTACAACCAACTCAGATTGAAGTTGAAAAGACACCAAGTCAAATGAGGCCTTGGGTGAGGCTATTTCTTTGCACATACACTTTTTATAAATATTTTGACTTTTGAGTTATCATTTTCTGGAATATGATTTGTATATTATATAGACCAACAATTTTTACAAAAAAATACATAAATAAATAATTGGTTATAAAGGTGATATGATCTGTTGAGTTCTGCCCTAGGGTGAAACTTCTAATGGTGCATCTAGTTTTATTTGGTTATTTGGTAGTGCAAATTGGATGAACTCAAATCCTCTGCACCATTGGTGCAGAAAATTTTCTGCATCATACCAATAGAAATTTGCTATGCCAGTCTGTACTTTTCCATTTCAAAATTAAAGTAATTTTTCAAGATGGTGTGTCAGATTGCTATTGGCTGGCGGTGCAGAGGACGTGAGTTCAAATTGGATGAGTTAGTTAAGGTTTATGATCAACCCAAACCTAAGGATACCAAACCCAAGATGCTAACTCTTCAACTTTAGTACTACTCAGGGTTGAGTTAAGTCTTGGTTGGGTTTGTCTGGCACTCTGGTTTAACTCAGATTTGGCTTGACTGGGGATGTCAATGGGTTGGCTTTGGTACAGATTTACCTTCACCCTAATCTGTCCCTCCATTGATCCTACTTGAACCCAACCCATCTGTTAGATCTAATGGCACACTAAAGTCACCTTGTAGTAGGACAACAATTTTGGAAGAATACATTGATTTCTTTGTTTATATATCAGTATTATTTATCAATTCAGTATTTTTTTACTTAGCTTATGACTGATTTTTATATGTTTTTGGAACAAGTGAAATGATCTCTTGAATGGAGTTAGAACTTTCCGTGACAGTTTTCTACTACTTTACCGAAGTATACTCATCGGTTGCTCAAAGGAGTCTAAAGAGATTTTGTCAGGTAATTATGAACACCAGTAAAGTGTCTCCTTGCATGTAAATCTATTCAAACTTTTGAATATTGGCTTCAAACTTCTGTTTTTTTCTTTTTTCTTTTTTCTTGCATATTTATCAGTTCTCTGGCCAATTTTATATGCATGGCATTCTTTCATTTTATAGATAGGTTCTAGAGTATCACCACCATGCTTCTAGGTTTAAACTATGCTAGACTTAGGCATATTGGTAGGCTGGTTCTTGGTGCTTGCCATTTTTTTCCTCTTATATTGTGTTTGGTCATCTATCTTTAGCAGATAGGACTGTGAATGTATTGATCGATCACCATGTTGGTTGATGCAGATTAGGACATACAGTTATACAATTAAAACAATTTAAGCTTTCCAGCTTAAAATCTTGTAAGTTATATAACAACATTTCGAAACTGGTCCAGACCAACTCCTAAGTCTATGCAATTCTGAGAAAACTCATAATACAAACATGGTAAGTCATCGCACTAAAAGTAAAAGCTGGACTTGTAGGGCAAAGAAATAAATGAGTTGCATTAAGTAGCTTTTTGCCATCAATCCCTATTTTAATTAAATGAAAGGTGAAAGTGCAACTCTTAAGCTCTATCTCTATTTAATAATAAATATTTTGCAATGCATTTCTAAACATACATTCTTAAAGTCAAGATAAATTTCAAAAACATATCTAAAACACGGCTTCATGAAAGTAAGATACTAATATATACAGGGGTTCTAGAATCCACATTTACTATTATGGGTTAAATAACCTTAATTATCCAAATAAATAAGCACACTATTATGGGTTAAATAACCTTAATTATCCAAATAAATAAGCACATGTATTCAATTCACACAAGCATCAATAGACAGAAATTCAAATTGAGTAGCGGAAATGGAGTACCAGGAATGAAGCTCAGTTGAACTCTCTGTCTTCACCGCAAACTCTCTGGCTTCAAATCTTCAAAACGGTGGGTATTCAATTGAACTCTCTGTGTACACTGCAAACTCTGGCTTCAAATCTTCAAAACGGTGGGGTATTCACAAGTTCATTGCTTCAAATCGACCTCTTTGAATCGGTCGAGCATTCAAATCGACCTCTCTCAATCGATCTAGAATTCAAATCAACCTCTATGTTCGGGGCTTCAACTATTCCTCGCTTCATAGTTCTCCGAATCGCTTCCTCGCTTTATAGTTCTCCGAATCGCTTCACAGTTCTAGCATTGAGAATGAAAGACACGAAGTAGTTCTCTGAATCGGTCAAGAGAAAAGGATATATAGGCTCGAAGAAGCAAGAAGATAATGGCATGAGATTAGGGATTTAGTTATCTGAATTGGTGGAGGAATTTTTTTTTTCGCTTCATGGAGCTACACAAGAGGGGTAGCCCATCCCCTTTCCCTTAACCCCCCAACCCCTGGTGGCAGCGGGATTTGATCCCAGGTCACTACTCTGACGAGTCTTGATCCCAAGTTATTACTCCGACGAGTCAGAGAACCTACCAACTGAGCCACCATCAGTTGGCGAATTGGTGGAGGAATTGAAGAAAGATGCATATTCTCAAAGAAACGAAGAAGGTAATGGCAACGAGATTCATGGAACCCAACATTTTTTTAGCGAGGGATTCGTCGTTTGACATTAACCCCCCTCTCTTGGCGCAACTTAACCGTTTTGGCGGGACCCCTAAAATTATATCTCAATTTTTATTATTTTTAATTTTATTTGTCAATAAAAAAACGCCGGGATGCGTGGTGTGTTATATGATCCCTGTTTTAATTAAAATTTGACCGCCGGTTCCTAAACGGGTCATCTTTTGTTCGAATTTGCCTATCTTTTCCGACACTAGATAAAGCCGTCGGAAGAAAACCGCCGGTCTAAGCCATTTTTTTTTCTAGTGCATAGACGACGTGTATCTACTTTAAGGATTGGCTAGATGTAAGAGATAGATTATAAGACAATGGAGGGCATGATATTACACCAGATATTTTACCTGAAGCAGATGATAAAAGTCATGAATGATGATTCATGAATTTGACTAATTGTATAGAATTTTTTATTTTTTCAAATTATTGTAAACTTTTTTAATTTTATTTAATTTATTTGATATTTTTTTAATTTTTTAACAATGTAATTTTGTAACCATATTGTATTTTTTATATTTTATTAATTTATTCCATTTTCATATATCATTCATCCAAGTATCCAATGATCCAATCATTGTATTTGTAATTTGTACCGTTCAAATGTAAATGAAATAAAATTCCTATTTTCTTTCAATTTGTTATTCCATCATTCTTATTTCAATTTAGTTAAGTATTTTTTTTTCATTTATGTGTTAGATAACTTAGATTTCTCATTTCTTAATTTTTTAAATAGTTCTCAATTCCCAAAATTCAAAGGAAAGTTAAATATTTTAATTTTACAATTTTATTTAGAATCCTGTAGCCCAGTCCAAGCCCACGGCATGGCCTGCAACCCGGCCCGTCCCATGGGCCCAGGCCAACCCCCAAAATTCCCACCGAGGAGGGTGGCATGGCCCATAACGGCCCACCTTTTGCATGGGCCGGTCTAACACGGCCCAATTTACCCCTCTACCTAAGAAGTGAAGTATCCGTGAAGAGGTACATCAAATGAGCCGTTCGAAGAAGCTTAGAAGCATGGCTTATAAGTTGTGCACGTGGACCCCACATTCAGACAATCGAAAGCTGCTGCGCTTCAATCTCCATTTGCGAGGGCTTTTGGACTTGTGAGGTAGGCCCCACCCCCACCCCCACCCCAGACAGCATATAAACAAGATTAATCAAAATCCAGATAGCCCATATTTGATTAACCAAAGCTTCAGCCCTTAGAAAGGGCCATCACTCTAGCTTGAAGCATTTAGGCCGTGTTTATTTGATTTAGAACATTAATATAATTAAATACCCCATTTTATTTAGAAGAATGGCATGCACCCATACAAATTATAACCTATTAAAAGTTTTTTACGTTAATTTTTTTTTTTTTTGGGTTTTTATAGTTCAGTCCATCTCAAAAATCTGACCCTACCGTATAGGTCAGATGAATCCTACCTGTAGATTGATGTTAAATTCATGAACAGGATGAGATTTATAGGGGACTACTAGTAAATTAGAAAAGGCTGTAATTTCAGATTTCTGAGGTGGATTGCAGTCCACTTATTCATTTAAAAAAAAATACAATTTTGAGAGAAACAAGAGAAGAATTTTCATGAATAAGCTTAGTATTCCTCCTCAATTATATAAGGTGCTTAGTTAAGCCTTGGTCATCATCTTCATCCTGACCCACCCTCCCCACTTAGTTCCCGACTGAAATCAGTAATATTAGCACTCCTTTGTTTTTTATTTATTTTACCATTGTTGTCGGCAGTCGGCAGAGGGAATCAACAGTTCAGCCAAATGGCCAATGTGGTTGGGAAAGAGAAAAAATGGGTTTTTCAGAGAGAGAGAGAATGAAAGGCATCCACATTACTCTACCGACAGAAGACAGCTAGCTCTTCATGTGGATGAGCCACCATCACGGGTCTCCTCCATAATAAAAACGGTGTTTGTGTGTACAACCCAAACCGAAGACTACGTAAATAGAACAGGCCCCCTTATGGCCTTTTTACCCCTTCACCCTTATCATCCATCATAATTCTATTCTATGTTCAACCAGAAAACCAATAAGACTACAACCAACACAACATCTCTCTCTTACTATCATCTCTTCTCTGATCCCTTTCTCTTTCTTCTTCTCCAGCATAGCAGAAACGAGCTGAGGCATGAGCATGAGTTCCTTCTTCGAGAGCATTAAGAAGCCAAGTTTCTTCCCCTCCATACCTACCGACGACTACGAGTCCCTCCCAGTAGTGTCTCATACAAGCCCCAATGCTGGACGTGAACAAGGATTGCGTCGACGACTCTCCTCTCTCTCAGTACTCGCAATTCAGCCCATATCCACTCATGCCGCTTCCTGGAGCTTTGCCCGATCAAAATCCATGTCCTCCATCGGAGAGTCCGCCGGCAATTCCGTGAGGAAATGGTGGGACTGGGGATGGGGTTGGATCATATCAAGAAAACCCGCATTCGCTAAAGATCTGGAGATGAATGAAGAAGAATCGGCAATGCTGGGTTGCCACAACAAAGGCACCTGGAGACATGTCTTCTATAAGGTGAGATCCGAGTTCACAAGGCTCGTGGGCTCCAACAATGCTGCAGGTTTACCCTATAACTCAAATATGTAGTCACCAGCACCACTCCATCACTTACTGATAAGTTGGCAAATCCCACTGAAAAGAAATAAGCATATAACATTTCAATCATGGGAAGCGAGAAGCTGGTTAAATAATCAAGATCAAATTCGGTCAAATTCTCTCTTTATTTTGTATTTTATTTATTAATTATATGTGGAATTTTGTTGGGTGGTAAGTAAGTTCCTTCTATAAATATAAATGGGTTTGTAAGATATGTATTTGGTAAACTGAGAAAGCATTCTTCTTGACAGAGAGGGGGTGCTGGTTTGGGAACAAAGGTGGTTATTATTATATTTTAATTAGTCTTAGATTAATGTTTTTTTTTTGGTTTTCTGAACAAGATGTGTAAATGAAATAATGTTGAATTGTGAATCACAACTTGTGATATTCCTGTTAGGAATTCTCATGGAAAGTGATATTCTTGTTTATAAATTGAAGGGTTCTCATATAAGGGCTGAAGTGGCTGAATTGAAGCCATTGGCTCCTCTCCTTTATAGCTGAAGTAGTTTAATTAAATGCAGGATTGATTAAATTTAATCCCAAATACTTTTTTTGTTATATGATAATTTTATTTTGGGTAAAATACAAAATCCTCCCCTGAAATTTCTGACAATTATAATTTTATTTAGCAAAACCTTCCTTAAATTTTTAAAGAATTGGGCAAAAACCTCCCTTCCGACAGAAAACGTTTATACTTACAAAATTACCCTTGAGGTGTCATTTAAAGATTTTGTAAAGTAGCATGGCGAAAACACGTATCCAGCCTCCTCGGTGTTATTTGGTCCTTTGAGCTTGTCGGCGAAGAAAAACTGATTTTTCCCATGAAGCATCCATTATCTAACTATTTGTCGTTATGCTTGTTGAATCTTTAGCTTATGGAGTATTTCTTTTTCGTTAATGCAAGTGGGACGTGTCGATGTTGCAAATAATAAAGGGATCAATCTCTATACTCTCTGACGCCGGTCTAATGGCCATGTTCTGTGTGTACCTTTGTATAGATAGTTATATTACAATATTAGAGTCAGCCTGAGCGTTAGCCGAATACGAATGACCGACGTTAATAACTTATTAACGGTCGCCTGTGCTCAAACGTTAGTTTCTCAGCCATTTGAAAATGACAAAGAGAACATGGTCATCCAATTTGTGGGCTGATGTAACACGATCTAGCTGTTCCCTGTTGGAGGTGATTTAGCTTTCAGGTGGATGACAGACTAAGTTGATCTACAAGAAAAAGATCAGAGAATCCAGGGTTGCTAACCCGATAAGGTCACTCCGATGCTTAAGTTAGTAGACTATTGCGAGCTAAAAAGCTTTAGAGTGTAGAAAGCTAGAGAGCAAAATAATCACACGTACCTTAAATCTCCGGGGGTGGAGCCTTTATATAGTTGAGTCCTTGCGGGTTTCGTGAATCGGTTCTAGGATCTTTGTCATGATAGGATCCGTTTCCGCATTAAATGGAAAATGATGCTACCGGTAAGGTTCATCAACTCCGCTCGAATCGGTCGAGGAGATAATGCTAGCTGTTACGTGACGTGATCCCATGAGGCCTAGGATCCGTTGGAGGGGTTTTCGGGATCACAACGTAGTGGCATATCGGCATCTCTGAGCTAATGTCTTTTAAGTCCTGAACTGGGTTGAGTGTCGAAGTGCCTTGACATCGAGGTGTTCTTGTTGCGATCTGATACCGAAGCGATCTCGTTCCGAGGTGGCCTTGTCCCGAAGTCACTTTAGCCCGGGGTGGTTGGTTACCCGAACTCGATCTGCTACGGACTAATCATGATAAACTGAGTTGTCATTACTTGGTCAGGTCGTATCCACGTGTCCCCTCTTTAGTAGGATTGATGGGATTAGTCATTTACTACAAGCGACGACTTCCTTTGGATGGCAATAGCCTGTGACATTTCTGGTAAATTAAGAGGTGTGTCAATTATCCCAGGTCCATTGAGCAATATGTGGGACCAATGATTACGTTTCTTGTGGTCCTCTTGATCTTGTGTGGTCGGCTCCATGACTGAAAATGCACCGATTCAGTTATCCGAAGAAGGTCTCTATGACTGAAACTGCACCGGTTTAGTTATGGTGCTCCGGCATGTGGGAACTTGGTTGCAGCGATCGTCGTGGTCATGCGTTTTCTAATATGCCCAACTGTAATGGTTGCGGCTTCCATTGCTATTGGCTTACGAGGCCATCTCCTCCACATCGCAATTTTACATGTCAAGCTCCCTCAAGGGATCGTCCCTTTCGTCTTCGCCAAAGAGTATAACATTCATCTAGCAATAAAGTTCAGATTTGATATGTTGTTAATTTACCGTGTTCAAAAATTGATGTTGTTCAACGTTTAAATCTTAGGGTGATGTTTGGAATGTTAATAGTGTTGTCGATCACATTGGTTTATTACCGTGTTCAGAGATAGATGTTTTAACGTTACTCGAACAAAAGAAAAAAAGGCGCAATACAAACAAGCGTCGATTTTCTCCGGATTTGGGTGTGTGATAAGGGCAATTTCGCAAATGTGGATGAATAATTTCGTAAATGGTGATGTTTTCCGTCTGAGTTAGTGATGAAAGGAGATTTTTGTCTAATTATTTAAAAATCTAAGGGAGATTTTTGTTAAAATGAAACTATAGACAAAATTTTTATGATTATTAGAAACTTTAAGAGAAATTTTTGTATTTTATTCTTTTATTTCAATCCACTAAAAGACAAATCAAATAAGCTATTCAGTTGAGTAACTTGATCCTTTTATATAATAAAATGTGTGGTGCAAAAAATAAATAAATCCTGTTAGAGTGTTTGTGCAATTGGCAGTTTGAGTGCAGATGGGCCTCAATTGCATCGAACCCGTGAATATGGACTTCGTTTTGGTCCCATCACTTTGTTGGGATGGGTCCCATGTCCCAACCCATGAGCTACGACACCATTGAATCGAATGATTTCGTCCAGTTTAATTAAAGCAGAGTCCTACTTGATGGATCATTACAATTCCCTCGCGTCCACTTATTTGAGGTTCATTCACCGACAGAAGTCCATACAACATACAAGTAACAAGATATTCTTCATTAAATGGGCCCAGCGTATATGGGCCATCCAAAGCAACCCAAGTTCACCACCGTACTTACGTCCATTTTTGCAATTCACTTCAATTAACGCTCTTTTTTTGTTTAAATTCACTATAAGAGGGGAAGAACTCTTTTTGATCTACAAAATCTAATATTGCATCCGTATTTAAGGCTCCGTTAGTTTTTATTTATTTGGGTTATGATTATGTAAGTGTTTCTTAGGTAAAATTTATGGAAATAAGTAAATTTTTAATATTTTTAGGTTATGTTTGGGAGTGCTTATGTGAAAAATAAGTGTTTAAAAACAAGTGTTTTATTCAAATAAGCACTTATTTACATTTGACACTCAACTTTTTTAAGTGCTTGTTTTAAAAAAATAAGCACTTATTTTATATTGGACATTTGGTAGTTTTTTTTCTCCAATAAGCATTTGTGACTATTTTGTCCATTTTCTTTTAATTTTTCGAAATATACCTTTATGAAAGTACTTTTATTAAATTACTTCTATAAAAATATTTTTATAAACACACTTTTACGGAAGCATTTTTATAAAAGTAATTTTATGAAAAACATTTTTATGAAAAGCACTTTTGTGAAAGCACTAAAGCACTTTTATAAAAGTACTTTTACAAAAGCACTTTTGTGAAAGTACTTTTATGGAATCACTTTTACGAAAGTACTTTCATAAAAATGCTTTTACGGAAGTACTTTTATGAAAGAACAGGTACTTTTATAAAAACACTTTTTATGAAATCACTTTTATGAAACTACTTTTATAAAATTCAACTAAGGATAATTTTATAAGTGGTATTTTAAAATTTAACTGGGGATAATTTTGGAATAAGCACTTAAAAAAACTGGAAATTTAGGCTTAAAAAATAAGCCCTTACTTTTAAAATAAACACTTATTTTGGGCTTATTTTCTAAACACCAATAATTGCTTAATGGTGTGGTCCCCACCCAAATAAGCACTTATTTCAAATAAGCACTCCCAAGCATGGCCTTACACACTATCAATTACCCTAGTAAAGAAAGAGTGAGAGGGAGACATTGCTTATAGAACTCAACAAGTGCACAAGTACATTGTCTCAAGTGTCCTCGTTTACCATGGGATTCAGTATAACTCCAAACGCAAACACAGGTATTGTAGCCAATGTACCAATTGACCAACTTACCTCTTGGGGCATAAGTGGAAATATCACATAAATGTTATTCATTGGTGTCATTTAGTTTGAAAATTACAACATAATTATAAAAATATAGATTAGAAAAATTAATATTGGTCTTACATCTTTGTAATTCACAATCTATTATGACCTATTTTATTTCAAAATCACTATCAACTTATGTTGTTTTTAATATGATTTAAGAGATTAAATGAGGTCTTATTTGTAAACAGTAACCCACTTTAATTGGTATTTATTATTTATTTGATTAATTTATTTTGAGTTTTGTATGTGTGTTTTTTTATAGGGAAATTGTCTCAAACTCACTGTGAGTTTTCAGCATTTCTCTTAAACTCACCATAACTTTTCAAAATGTCTAAAACTCACCATGTCACTAACTTGACATTAAATAGATTAACGGGCATTAATATATTACCATTTTAACCTTCATAGAAAAATATAAAATATATACAAAATAAATTAACGGGTGTTAATATATTACCATTTTAATATTTCGACATGAAAAATGAAAAAAAAAATATTTTCAAACATAAAATACATAAAAACATAGAAATTAAAAAATATATAAAAATTATAGAAATTGCAAACAACATAAAAACTTATTTTCAAATTATAGAAACTATATAAATTGTAAAACAAAATCAGAAAATAAAAATTATAGAAAAAACACAAAAAAAAATTATAGATTGTAGAAAATAGAAAAATGTAAAAAACAGAAATTATAAAAAACATTGGAAATTATAACAAAACATTAAAAATGTAAAAAAAAAAACAAGAAAATCGAAAAATGAAAAGACCATTTTTTCTCCAACTCACCATTCAAGGGTAATTTGGTCATGAAAGTTGTTATTTATGCTGACATAGATACCTCTGTTAAGAAGCATTAACGGTGCACTAACGGAAGGTGAGTTTTGGAAAATAAAAACTTGGTAACATGGTGAGTTTTAGACATTTTGAAAAGTTGTGGTGAGTTTAAGAGAAATGTTGAAAACTCATGGTGAGTTTTGTAAACAGTAACCCACTTTAATTGGTATTTACTATTTGATAAATTTATTTTGAGTATTTTATGTGATTTTATAAATAGCCACCTTTGTAGCACTTCAAAGTGGATTGAATGTGTTTGAATAAACCACTTATAAGGTAGTTATTCTATTTGAAAGTGGAATTAACCACTTTTGAGATCATT